CGACCGCGGAAGAAACAAGATTATAAAGCCAAATTACGGAATCGATTCGACTCATTAATTAAACATTCGACGCTGCTGCGCTACTACGATTCCATTGACCCGGCCGATTGGCCGCTGTCCAAAGAACGATCCGACAACTGCGACCTTCTCCTACCACGGCCGTTATAAAATGCTCTGGAATGCACTTTTAATCGATAATCGATACTTCACGCGCAAAAAGCGACGAATCCTGAATTTATTAGGAACTATTTACGTAATTCGAGAATTCTGCGAAGGGAGTATCGAATGGTGTAGAGGTTTTAGGTTGAGAAGGGTGAAGAATGCAATTTTCTAGGTTAGGAAGAGCAAGGTGCCAAAAATTTTAGGTTGAGGAAGGCCAAGGTGTCCAAAATTTTAGATTAGGAATGCCAAGGTGTCCAAAATTTTAGGTTAGGAAGGCCAGGTGGCCAAAATTTTAGGTTAGGAAGGGGAAGGTGCCCAAAATTTTAGGTTAAGGAAGCTATGGTGGCCAAAATTATAGGTTAGGAATGCCAAGGTGTCCAAATTTTTAGGTTAGGAACGCCAAGGTGTCCAAATTTTTAGGTTAGGAACGCCAAGGTGTCCAAATTTTTAGGTTAGGAATGCCAAGGTGTCCAAATTTTTAGATTAGGAACGCCAAGGTGTCCAAATTTTTAGTTTAGTAATGCCAAGGTGTCCAAATTTTTAGGATAGGAATGCCAAGGTGTCCAAAATTTTGGATTAGAATGGCCATGGTTCCCAAACTTAACGTTAGCAAGACCAACGTACCTAAAATCTTAAGTTAGAAAGAATAAACCATTCAATCTTCCAAGTTACTACAACTAAACAATCTCCTGCGTCACCGCGCATTTATAAAATACCACAAGCAGAAATTCAACAAAGGCTACGCGAAAAATTTCGCCGTGCAATCCCCTCCCACCCAAACCGCCCACGCAACGAATTTCTGCGAGTTCCTAGAAATCGTTGCCCGATCCACGTATCTCAGTATTCCGCGCAATTATTGGAATTCCCCGGTGATGAACAAGGTTGATCTATTCTGATTCAATCCAGGAAGCGAGACGTATTTACGGTCCACGGAATCTAACTATAAAAACGACCTCTGATCCCCGACGCGGCAGATGTCAGATACTCGTTTAAAAGGTTTGGCTAAAAATAGTGAGGTCCGCGTGCGCGCCACCAGCTATCGCACCGAGCGTCCGGTATTTATAACGACGGATTCTTGAAAAACGCACGCCCCCTTGGCTCCCAGGAATCGCGTCGGTCTTTGGCAACGAGACAGTCGAGTCGTTAACCCTGTCGTTAACCCCAAAGTGGCCAGAGAAGATGAGTCAAATGGTCGCTCGTGAAAAGCCAACGCAGGACAGGGCACTTTCTTAGACGTCACTATAGGCGTCGGCCAAACGATGATTAGAGGTCAAGTCCAGTCAGAAGTAATGCTTCAGGTGTCTTTAAGCTAACCTTCCTATGGCTAAATGATTACTACATTTTTTTGGAACCTGGGATTAGTAGAGAAACGATTCCAAGGCCACAGTGTTCGATTTTCTAGGTTAAGAGGGCCAAGATGGTCAAAATTTTAGGTTAGGAAAGCCAAGGTGGCCAAAATGTTAGATTAGGAAAGCCAAGGTGCCCAACATTTTGGATTAGGAAAGTCAAAGTGGACAAAATTTTAGGTTAGAAGACTAAGGTGGTCAAAATTTTAGGTTAGGAACGCCATGGTGGTCAACATTTTATATTAGGAGTGCCAAAGTGACCAAAAGTTTAGGTTAGAAAGGCCAAGATGTAAACAATTTTAGATTAGGAAGGCTAAGGTGGCCAAAATTTAAGGTTAGGAACGTCAAGGTGGCCAAAATTTTAGGTTAAGAAAGCCAAGGTGCCCAACATTTTAGTTCAGGAAGGCCAAGGTGCCCAACATTGTGGGTTAGGAAAGCCAAGTTGGCCAAAATTTTAGATTAGGAAGGCCCCAGTGTTTGTTCTCAAGCTTCTCAGAAAATATGACGAAGTATCACTAAATTTTTTTGGAAGCTAGGGATAGTGAAGTAACGATTCCAAGTCTCTGAGAAGAGATGGCGATGTCTCGGTGTCCCTTAAATACCTCGCAGAGAGGTAGAGGCTACATTAGTCGTACCAAATGCCAGAGATTACTCTTCCGCTGAAAACCACGGTTAATTACCTACAACATCGAGAACGCTAGCATCAGTTTCCGCGGATGCTGAAATTTTCATCGGAACGACTGCTAACGATCCTGGTACTCTATTTTCTGGCAACGCGAGGGAACCGTTCAAATATGCAACCGAAGTCTCCTAGTGCCCTGGGACCTTCTAATGTTCGGGACTTGAATATTTCATAGACTCTAGGTCTTCGGAAGTTCTGCCCCCTAACAAAGTCCTTTAATTCCTGTCAGCGAATCACGGGAGGCCATGATACTCGTATGATACACAAATGACCCCGTGGATATTTGCAAGAAGCAATTATTTCTCGTTTCGTCTGGGTTAGGTTTGGGTTTATTCGTTAAAAGCTCGTATCCACCTATGCGCCGAGAGAGCTCGACGAGACCTCTCCGCGTTTGAAGCTCGCTAGACTTCTGTTCCGTTCGCTGAAACAATAGGAAATTCGCGTTTCCAGGAACGTCCCACGTACTTGTTGCGAGGATAAAACTAGACCACGTCGAGCGTAAATTGTTTTGAGAAAGCACGGAGCCGAGTGTCACGCGAAACAACGATATCTCGCTACACCGTTATCCCAAACTAGACCACCGTCTTCCCGACGACCAGAATCGATCGGTCGTACCCGAAGGAGCGCGTTATCCTGCTCCCGCAGGACGAATGCCTTCTTTGTTCGGTCTTTCCGCGAAATATGTCGCCGCGGAGGGATGCATTCCAGTTCTCGGGATCGAGGAGACCGTGGAATTCGACCCCGATACGAGAAAGTGCTTTATCCTGTCGCGGAAGACAAAGGCCAGGTATCCCCGAAATGTCTATATAATTCTTCCAACAGGTTTGACGCGCCGGGGTATAACTGTCCCAGGTTTGAGGGTCGGGTCGCTGAAGAACGCCTGGGAAAAGGTCTTACCCTCTATTATTACTATTTTATTTGTTCTATTTATTTATTTTATTTATTCTACCGATGGAACTTTGTTATTGTTCATTATATCTCTGCGAGAGTGTTATCAATCTATTGGCGAGGTTACCCCGAGTAAAACGAGCCCAAACACGCCACCATTTGGAGCACTTTTACTATTGCACATGTATTGCTCGAAGGAAAAAAGATCGGTCCTGTAAGGAATTCTGATCCTTATTCCGTCAGACAGTACAATTAGCCTTCGCGAAACTTAAAAATAAGTGAAAATTGTATCTTCACTAGCTCCATTCTCATAATTCACACTCCTATATCTTTCGAAACCCGAGATCAATCTTTCCTTCTCCCAACAGTACATGTAAAAAAAGAAATATTCCGAATGGGGTCGTGTTTGGGCTCATTTTAATCGGAAGAACCTTCTCGACGCGATGGCTATACTTTCCCGATGAATTTAGCACATGATCCAGAATGATCGAACTATATTCGTGCAGAGTCAGCTGTTAAACGTCCCCCGCGTAGTCGCTCCAAAGACTCGAGTGGACGTATTTTTACACAATCGCGGGGAACGTGTTTATAGAGTCATGTGTTATTCAGCGCCGCCAGATTTACCATCGATTGTTTTCTCCTGCGAGATTGCGAACTAGGTCAGAGCCGATCAGCGCGCAATCGCGTCGAAGAAACGTTCGACGTAACGTTTCGCTCGATTCGAATTCCTGCTCTCGCGGCAAGGCACTTTAATTAGACGTTTTAATTGGTAATTAGGACCGACGAGAGTGGTAGCCCCATTGTCGTCGAGCGAAGATCCTTCGGATTCGTCGGCCCGTAAACCGATCGTCTGGTTTTTGCGATCTTACTTCGACGGGAAGACTATCGAGCCTCGGAGGACGATTATCGGGGCGTTCGGAGAGCCGAGTAGGCGGTCTTTGCGGTCTGCTTTTTAGACAAATCAAACTGATCGCCGAGGGCGCTTCAGCTCCCATCCCAATTCAAAGCAAACTGGTCAGAGCCAGAAACAATCATCTCCCCTTCGACGGTGGGATACACGAACTTCCGATAAAGCCTCAGCAATCTGATACACTGTCCGGAGCGTCTCGTAATCCGTCGCGGAAAGGAAGTGTCCGTCAAAAAGTCAATTGGAAATATAGAAGGAAACTCCTCGCGTTCCGGAGGAAACCGGTTTTCGAGGATCCATTCGAGGCACGTGTGGCTAACTTCGGCTATGAGTAAACCGATCGTTGAGTGGATCTCTATCTAGTAGAGTCTGGATAGCGCTGGATGATTGACATTGTCTGTAATCCAATCACGTTCAATTTGATGCTCGAAGATACGTCTGCTAGTGGGTATCGGTACATCTACTTAGAGAGTGACTTCGTGACCCTGTTTCAACTGGAAGGGCATCGACAATTCGACACGATTCTATTCAAATAGGTTCGATAAAACAGAATCTACGATAAGGTTCGGTTATGCCTTGCGGAGCCTTGGCTGCTCGCGGACGAGTCAAGAACCAACAAGTGTTAATCTTAATAGTACGATCTTAATAGTACGTTACACTGCCAATTAAATCCTCTGCATATAAGGTGTGGAATTATGTTAGGTAACTCGGTCTTCAAATTGTATAATCCTGTCTAATGGCCACGTGTCCCATCGACACTTTTGGCCTGGCATTCTGATCCAAGATGACTGTCGCATCCTCTAAGGATCTCGTCGACAAAATCCAGCCCAGTCACGCTCGTCTTTTCCAATGCCCCAGGCAAACCACGGCTCGTATATCGCTATTCCGAGGAAAGAGCGGTCTGCCGGGTCGTAAAGAAACGCGAGAACGTAGAATCCATCGCGTTCGTAGCACAGCCGGTCGATATCGTTGCCTGTCGTGGCAAAATAGTTTGATCGACTGCGGAAAGACTCACCGAAAACTGGAGCAAGGATGGATGACCCAGTGACCTGCCGCCTTTTGCCTGATCCGTTCCTTCATCAGCGCCTTCTTGCTGCCGAAAAGCTTCATGGCCAGCTTGTTGTCCGTCGGCTGGAACAGGGCCTGAAGCTGATTCTTCAAGAAGCTCTGCTTGACTTCCTGGCCCGGTAGACCCGGGCCAGGCTCCTCCTTCGGCGTCCCATAGAGGGACACGTCGTCCACTCCGAAGTGGACCTTACCGCTGCCCTTGTAATTCATCTCGTTGCCTGGAAACAAAGAGATCCCATGGTTAGTGCTCTGTCGAGAGTTAGGCCTAGGTCTGATCTTATCTTTGGGGGTATAGGAGTCTCTACTTAAACTGAGGGGGAGGCGGCGATTGAACGGTTGAAGGTGGATGGATGATCTTTGAGGAGGTTTAGATTGAAGTGGGGATACCTGGAAGAGCTTTAAAAAGATTTGGAAGGACACACAGTCAACTCTATAAATACCTTCTATGTGTATCGAAGAAATTTGTTTGAAGTGAATGGTAGGTTTGATGTCTCCAAGTGATGTTTGTATAAATATGTTGATGTGTATATGTCACGGTGATTATGTATAATCACCACTAAAGTTGGGGAGTGTGGTAATTTTTTGAATATTTATCAAATTCACCAGTATATTGTGAAGCCATTCACCGTTATATCAGTATTCGATACTCCCGCCCCACCAACTATCCCATACTTTCTTAGACAGTATTTTCGTGTAGACAGTATATGCATTAACAAGTTCATCGTATTCCCCATTACGAGTTGGGGATTATATTTAACAGTATTCGATATTCTCCCACCAACAACTATCCCAAACCTACTCAGACAGTATTTTCGTGTAGACAGTATATGCATTAACAAGCTTATCGCATTACGAGTTGGGGATTCAGTCAAGATACTTATCACTTTCGCTATTTCGAGATGAGAATTATATTTAACAGTATTCGATATTCCCCCACCAACAACTATCCCAAACCTACTCAGACAGTATTTTCGTGTAGACAGTATATGCATTAACAAGCTTATCGCATTACGTGTTGGGGATTCAGTCAAGATACTTATCACTTTCGCCATTTCGAGATGGGAATTATATTTAACAGTATGCAATACTCCCGCCCCCACCAACTATCCCAAACTTATTCAGACAGTATATGCATTAACAAGTTTATTGCATTCCCCATTACAAGTTTGGGAGTATATTTAACAGTATTCAATACTCCTACCCCCACCAACTATCCCGAACTTACTTAGACAGTATTTTCGTGTAGACAGCAAATGCATTGACAAAATCACCGGTGAATTTGATAAATATTCCAGAATATATCACATTAGTTTAGTGAGAATTATATATAATCACCGCATTTATCACATTCACTGTAACATATATAAATATATTAATGTATAAGCTTATTAATATACATATGTATACTGAGAAATTCATTTGGTAATATCAAAACTATTGTTTAATTTAGTTATACCTCTTCAATAAACAGGGACGTATAGACAATGGGTACGAATATTTATGGGATTGAGTGTAGGTGGTCAGGAGGGGACAGGCTGCTTTCAGAAATTCGTTGCCTGGAAAAAGAGATCCCATTAGGCCTAGATCAGATCTCATCTTCAGGGGCACAGGCTTGTCTACTACAACTGGAGAGACAATTTCTAAAGGTTTGGAAGCCATGGGCGATCTTTGAAAAGTTCTACGCAGGCTACCTAGCTAGAGTTTACGACAAGACTACCTTCGGAAATTTGTTGGCTGGCAACCGAGCAACTGGCAACCAAACATTATCATCGAATAATTCGCAGGTTTCAAATTTATTTGGCTCGTAAACAATGAGCGTTACGAGTAAAAGGCGATCCTCGATAAAATATCCGTGCCGCTTTGCACATAAATTATGCCCAAATCAGGTTGCAGAAACAGACTGTAACGCTACAGGGCATCCCCACCGCGGCCATCGGCGCACATGCTGGCGCATTCCAGCCTCCCATCGACTTCCTTTCCAGCTCCCAAACATACCGCACTCAGCATCAACAGTTACACGTGAAACGTAAAAACCTCCAGGCACCGTTCGCTCTATTAAACACACCGAGAGATTCTCTTTAACTCTGACACTTATAATTAGCATAGCACTCGGAAACACGAAGAGCTATTCTAGAAAAATGAAAGATGAACGAATTATTGAAATATAATTAAAATCATCTGTCACGTTTATATAATTTTTTGCTATACCAATTTCTGAGTAACAATTAAATCGAATAAATGCCAAACTATCGAAGAAGATAGCCTTCACGGATCCTAGTCAAACCGGTCCACTTCTCAATGGCCTCCGGAACAATGGCTACCAAGTAATCCTGAATCGGAACGTCATCGATATCTGCACGTATCGATACGTCGAAGTGCGTCTAATTGGAAACTCTCGAGCAATTTGTGAACCAGAAGAAAACAACTACCTCGGTGAAAGTATGACACGGGAAAATCATTTCTCGCGCTCGACTTGGCAAGAAATATTAGTTTGAGAAGAGAGCGAGAGAGAGTGAACTATGTTCTCTGTTTTCGATATCGAAAAATACCGTTCGGAGCAGTCGTATCGCTCGAAATGATTCACATCCGTGAACATTTCCTCTTCCTGGAGCAAAAAGCGGCTTACCGAGAAGGTGGATGAAAACCGACGAAGAAGTTTGCCATATACATGAATAATTATCAGGCTGGCAGGAAAACTTCTGAACAACTACTTCGGAACACAGTTGGAATTTCTTATCGCGCGAGATGACTCTAATAGAGCAAGAAAATCACCTTGAAATTATCGCAGAATTCGTTAGCGAGCCATCTTCCGCGCATGAATAATTACTGCAGTAGCAGAAATACGTTGCATGCATCCAAATAGAGATTGTCGTCATCTAAAGAGAGAGGATCTGATAGACGAGGACAATTATCACTTCGAATATTGATGGAATCATAGTCCCGGTACAGTTTTTGGTGTTAATTTAATATTCTTCGCTACTCTTCGGCTTCAATAAGAAAAATTGAATAACAGGTGGAACAGAGATTGGACAATGCCATAGGGAGGAGGAGTAGATCTATTTTCAAAGAAATGGGATCCTTTGAAGGCCCTAACTCAGATCTAACCCAACACAAGACATTCTTAACAGCAACCTCTTCACACAAGGTGAATTTCTACTCCCCGATTTCGACACCGATTTAAGTCTCTACATTAAATACACTAACACTCCAACGACTTGTACTCCTCGTCGCTGAAACTCCAATCCTCCGAAAGCTACCCACCCCAGCGACCTCATCGCACAAGGTCCCTAATTTCGGCTCCCACCTCGTCAGGACCCAAGTCCCCATGTCGGATACACTGAAGTCCCAGCGAATTTGATCAGGCATCATTCAAGCAACCATCATCTGAAAGCTACCTGAACCGCGCCAGTTCTCGAACGATTCCTACGCAGACTCACCGTGCGGCTTGCGAGAATAGAGCTCGGGCCAGCTGGCGATGAATTTGCGGCAACCCTTCAACCCGATATCGTCCGATGATACGGTCTGTTTACGCAGCAACGGTCTCTTCTGCTCGTCCACGGTGTCGTTGCGCGGCGGAGCGTCGGCCATCGCCCGAAGGAACGCGTTCTGCCCCGGTTTCGCCGTGTGACTGGCCCCGCGGAGCAGAGGTTGACTAATGACGAAGGGGAACACGAGGGGGAAAAAGAAGCGCAGAACCGGCGAAAGCGACGCCACGGGGCGAGGGAAGACGAGAGAGAACGGAGGAGAGAAGCACTGACCGGTTTTTATTTGCGGGACCGAAGGCGTCTTTCGATTCCGCTCCGGACCGCATGCAAAATCCTCGCGATCAACCTTGACACTGCCGTCTGGAATGCCGCGGGACTGTCCGCCACGCCGATGCGGTTTTTATCGTGGCAGGCTCGCGTGCTATACTTCGCGTCACCGATACGTCTCGATGGCGATGCTGTTTCCCGCGCTTTTGCGCTCCGAAGGGAGGACATTGACTGGTGCACGCGGATACTTCGTGGCGGGTACGGAACGCGGTTGTCGCGATTTTTTCGTGTTTGGATGCGCGGAGCGTGGCCAGCGAGCGTGGAACGTCCGTGGGCGTGGCGAGAGTGCGGATATCGGCGGGCGAAGATAACGAATCGGGTGTACGAAGGCTTCAATTTGAGCCATGAGCAAGGTATTGAAGCCAGGTGAATATTTAATGAGTTTACAGAAACGTGATGGTTAATGAAGAACGCAATTGGGATGATTTGGGTAGGCACGATGGTGCAAGGCGGAGCCTATCGTCAGAAATAAGCATACAGGAGCTCATAAGCGTTACAGGAATATTAGTAGGGGGTAAATATTAATGGGGTAAGTGTGACTTCGCGCAGACTGCACTCTGGGGGCGTGGCCTAATCCCCACCCCGCTCAGGCCACGCCCTCAAGAGACCATTTTTCAACTAACGAACTATATTTCACATGCAATATGGCGCTGCATACACATAAGCATACAGCAGCCCATAAGCATTACAGGAATATTAGTAGGGAGTAAATATTAATGGGGTAAGTGTGACTTCGCGCAAACTGCACTCTGGAGGCGTGGCCTAATCCCCACCCTGCTCAGGCCACGCCTCCAGGAGACTATTTCTCAACTATCGAACTATATTTCACATACAATATGCCCTCCATACGCTTGATGTACAATCACTCTGACTCGATATCACGTAAATTATTGACTTTCGGAGCACTTCAATGGAATACATTTTTTTGTTTCCTCTCCACTCCACGAGGTTTTGATAAACTCGACGCTAGCGCTCGACGTGTAACTCGAGAGTCCTCGCGCGAAGATCGAAATTCGGTCGCATCGTTGTCTCGAGCTTTCGAGCGACGTGATCTTGGATATCCTCGAGGGCCTGAGTAGATTTCGTGGGATTAACGAAATTGGATGCGTTCTATTGAAGATATCGATTGTTTCGACGGGGCTCTGACAGCTTGGAACCATCCCCGTGCTTCAAACTTCGAACGATTATTTTCCTATTCTCGGCGCGCTACGCGTAGCTTAGATTAGATTATTTCTGTCGTAAAAGTAATCGCGTCGCTGCATAGGGTACTTGAAACATAATCGCCAGATAAACAAACGGTATCGTGCGAAACAACTAAAATAAACGCCGAGAATGCAATGGTTAAAACACGGTTTTGTTTAAGTACACTTTCGTTACCACCTTTGTTTATTTAGAAAAATAAGGAAATGTCGCAGTTTTTGAACGGATAATTTTTTATCAAGATTTCCTCCCGTATCCTTTTTTTCCAGTAACTTCTCGCTTCAATGATTCCAAGTTATTTTTTCAGAGCTCGCTATTGCCTACGTTTTGCATACAATTTTCATCGAGTGGATAATTGCTTGACAGATTTTGCACGGCTTTTTAAATTCCTAGAAGTTCAGCGAGCATGAAAACACCAACAGCGAATTGACAACGTTTTTCCTATTCGTGGCGTTCATTCGTGCGCTTTTTTTCTTCTTCAAATCGTCGACGATTGCTCGGAAACGGAATTTGCATCGTTTGATTTATTCGTTGTTTACTGTTGGCGGTATTGACAGCCGCGTGGGCGGGCTCGAATTCAATCGTTGATATGGTGAAAAGACTATAGTAAAGATGCATATTTACGGTCGCGCTTTCCATAATTAAAACAAAAGAATTACATGAACTTCTAAAAATGGTTAAGTAAATGCTAATGTTTTTATTATGAAACATTTGACTCTGCGACAGATAATTGAAAAAATTGATAAATTATCTCGTTTGAGGAGGACTTTACTTGCCACGCACCTAGTGGATGATTTCGCTAATCTCCAACCGTGTATATGTATATACGTACGTGTACATACGTACATGCTAATTAATCGTTCGTTGTTTTTTTGTTTTTTTTTCCTTTTGTTGATAAAGAATCGTTCATGTATAAACGTCAACTGAATAAACTACGATGCACGATTTATTTAAATTACTAGAATTCGGTTCGTTCGTTTAACGATTCCCCCACCGATAATTTTCACATAATTTATGACGCAGCGTCGAGAAGGACGCTGTGATACTTCAGACTCCTAATCGTTAATAACTCAATTTATAATGGCGGCTCACGGAAATGCTAAAAAAAAAAACATTCCTTAATGGTAGTTTGTAAATCCATCCGTCAAAACCGGTATGCTAATCGTCTCTTACGAAACGAGTAACCCCCTTATGCAAAACGATCCTCGTGATTCACTGTTATTATTTAACCAGGTTTCATTTCACGCTCAAATATTCGACGAAGCTTTACGATCGATGGTCGAATAAATCGAACGAGCAAAGATTAATAACCCAAAAGAAATACAACTATGTGTATTTTAAATTCACTGTAAATTTCCATTTATTTATTTTTTTTTTTATCGAAACCAAACGAACAATTTCCCACGGGATATGCAATTTGACTTGTTATTTCAGGTAGCGAATCGCGAGTAACAGTATCCCTAATATCTACGCTTTTCATCCCAGAAACCACAAGAGAAACCAGATTCCCCGCAGCCACGAGCGAAACTGTCGCAAACAATGCGACGCGCACGCATACAAACGTGATACCCTTTACTTTTTCAGATCGTTACCGGTAAATGAACAGAATCACCATCTGAGTGTGCAAGCGAAAAATAAGAACACAGCAAAGAGCGTCGAAGAAATACGAAGAAATACATTTGAAACGACGGGAGACCCACAGAAAGGTTGGAAGAGCTTGAACCACATTCTCACTTACGCGATTTGCAAATTTAACAAATTTATTTCGTATGGAGCACGAGCCGAATCAGTAACGAATTGTGCTTTCACATTTTTGGGATCGATAAATAAATATAATTCGTTTAACACGTTCACGCCGGCGTGTACCACCGGTGGCTCACGGTCGCGTGCCAATCGAATGGTGGCAAATACCCGCGCCGGCGTGAACCGTGTCAAGTCGTAGTTGGAGAAAATAGCGGACTCGACCTGTACGGAGTAAAGCAGTGGGTCAGAGAGGAAAGTAATGTTCGATTCGTTAATAAAAGAAACCGAAGCCGAGCTTCATCATCGAAGGAAGTTTGCTTCTTTATGCTGTCATGCGCCGTTCGATTGCCTTCCTATATTGCTACAACCGATAATAGACTCGTTACGCGCATTTGTCGACGAGCAAACGAGTGATTCAACGAGAATTCTTACGCACACTGCAACAGCGCTCCATATTCGCGGACACGTGCGACAGATTGGTGACTTTTGTACGACTACGTTACGCTTTTCAATTTAATTGCACAGAACGCGCTCAAAGGACAATCTGCTCGATGTCCCAGCAAGTGTTCGTTCGAACGAGACCGATAAAAATAGTAAATGCAGGAAATACGTATGTGTACTAATTGTATAATTATCAATTTTTAAAGGGCAAAATTTACACGATTTATTTGATTTATTTCATTGATCAAGTCGATTTGGAATTGTATTTATTTCTAAATCGATATCCGCTCCGTGTAAATTGAAAAATGAAAAGTTCAGGGTTACAGAATTTATTTCAAGCGTTTTTCGAATTCGTGTCGCGCGAGATGAACGTATCGCGGTAAACGATCCAAAGCTTTGTCCACCCACGCGTTGTTTTTTTCGCGTACCCACTCGCGAAACGTGAAAAGTATACGTTGCGAGCTGAATGATCAAATTTCCCGCTAGCAAGATTCGGTAACTTGACACCTTTGAGCTAAACAAAATGCGAGTGTTTGTTATTTTATCTCTGTCTGGGGATAAGCCATGCAAATCGCCAGGCGGAAAGAAATTACTTTCAGAGATATTCAGAGACGCGATACGCGATCAATGAACGTAACAATTAATCAAGTTGTAAACATGAAAAAAAATATGAGAAATATAATAGCATTCGAAACTAATTAAATATCAAACAAAGTGGACAATGTATGCACGAGTACCGTAATATACGTACGATACATGAAATTACTTAAATTAAAACGAATATTAACTGAAGAAAAATAAGATTCAAGAGTGATCTATTTTTGGATGGTGTTTAAAATTCTGTCAAAAGTGACAGCAGGAAAAGAACGAGTTCCGACGAGTCAATCCGAAAACTGATACCATCATTAGAACTTGACACCCTGTTTCAAACGTCTGTCTCACGCACTCAATTTATGTTCCCTTACTGTTGAACCGGTCTTCTCAAAACATGTCTACCTCGAACGTCCAATTTCAAAGTCGAAAAGCCTGGGGTACTCCATGTACATAAGCCCGCAGGCTTGGAACCTTTCGTGTTTATCCAAACACTTGTCAGGCACAGCTAAAATTAAATCTCCTCAGACAAAACTGTCCGAAACGTACGAGTGGGGTCGGAAGAAATCGGTAAACTTCGTGTACGCCAAGCACAAAGAAGGAGGGGTGCATTTCAAGTCCATCCACTCCGCTATTGTTCTTTCGTTCGGTCTACTATCGACGAGGGTTCGCGGTACTTCCTGTATTCGCCACTAGAGGGGACAACGACCGATACATTTCTCGCAAGCACCGCCGATTATTGCACATGCTGCCTCTAACTTCTGAGTGTTATATATATTTGATATTTTTGAAGGTTTTTACTCAAAAACTGACGCTAATGCTCAGACTCAAGCCAGCAAGACACCTACTAATTTAGTTTAAATACAAGATACGGAGCTACGAAATGGCAAATGTATATATATGATTATTAACCTCTGAGTGTTATATATATTTAAGGTTTCTAAAGGTTTTCTCTCAAAAACTAACTCTAGCCCTCGGATTTAAATCAGAAAGACCCTTACTAATATGGACCTAAAAGAAAGAACCCCTACTAAGATGTGGACCTAAAAAATATTCACCGCCAAAAAGAAACCTCTGAATGTCTCAGCGTCTAAGGTTTCCTAGGTAACCTTCCGCTCCTCCTCACCTTCTCAACTTCACAGATCGTCATAATGGAGCCTGTAAGTGAGTTCGACTCACCTGTATCGGCCAGAATATCAGTGATGAGCAAGGTCTCGTCGTCTAGAGCAGTGACGAGGCTGTCGGTGCAAGTGTTCGTGTTCTCGATGCTGATCTTGATGCTGTCATCTTTGTTAAGCCGTGGATGATTGTTCGCGGCGGGGTTATTACCGGCGTGGCAGTTATTGTTGTTATTATGGTTGTTGTTATTGTTGTTGTTGTTGTAGTTGCCGCCCTGCTGCTGGCCGAGGTGGTGATGGGGTGAACGAACGGATTCTGTGCTGCTGGTGTGCAAACTGACCCCTGTAGTCGCTCTTCCGTTCACTTGTCGGAGACTCGGTGCCCGTCGACCTCCACCTCCTCCTCCACCCCCACCAGCGCTGGTCACGGAACGCCCGCCACCGCCGCCGCCCTCGCCCTCCCTGGAAAAAAAAGAACGTTCCATTTCTCATTGACGAGATTCGTACATCAACGAGGCCTCGTTTATTGAACGCTAATCGTCACCACGTGCTTTCATCAACGGAGGGAGAGGTGGGAACCGTTCTTA